TACTAGAGTTAGGTTAGTTTACTATACCCTACCTGAATTCTAACAGCATAAACCTTCCTTTCCAATTTACAGTATCGTGGTACAATAGAATAGTTTTGGAATTCTAACAGCATAAACTGCCCATTTGATTGAGTGCAGCTCTTCATTTCTTTAAAAAATACATTGCTTTAAATTATTTTTAAAACGTAAAACGGTCAATAACAATTAAAATTCTTTCATATTTTTTAAAATTTGTTTATTTATTTATTAAAAGTAGATCTACTAAATTAGATCTGTTTATTAATTGTTTCCATTTTGATTTTACACCAACCATTAAACATATACAGTACCTTTAATAATGTAAATATTTACTTATAACAGTGTAATTTATGTAATATTAATTAGTATCAGTTCACCTCGTTAACAACACTGTGCTGTGATTGTGAAAGTAAAAATTAGACACTGTAAAAATATATTTTTTTATAAAGCCTTTGTATTTATTCAGGCATGAAAATTTTTAAAATAATGGAGTTACGAAGCCACAAAGTTGTACCTTAAATCCTCAAGTAATGACATTTTTCTTATGTGAATTGTCCTTAACGTGAGTGCATTTTTTCAAATAAACTTTTGTTTATTTTAATTTACGATTGACATCCTATTTAAAGAAGGAGGGGGGTAGGCGAGTGCAGAGGGAGGTGGTAGAAATAAATCAAATTTAAAGTAAAAAGAATGAAAATATAAATGAAGCAGAAGAAAATTGGTTTCAACCATGTGTTAAGAGATAATTGTCTAAAGAAATTTGACAGACTCCAATAGCATAGTAACAATTCAAATAATTAAATGGTCAGCGGCAAATACAGAGATTTGTCTAGTGGGCCGGCAAAAATTTGTCGGAGGGGGGAGGGGTTCCGGCTTGGGACTATAGCCAGCCCACCGCTAATGATAAACAGGGTTATCCTGCAGATCGGACAAAAAAAGACGGTTTTTGGTCTCTTCGACATGAAAACACATTACAACATGACCTATCCATAAATCTTAATTAAGAGCACACATACAGGGTTAACCACACAGGATTAGATTGTAATGACGACCTAAAATTCTAAAATTATGACGATTTGAAACTTCATTTTTGGTTTCTGCACTCAATTGAATATTTCGATGGTTTACTAAATAATTAGGAAATAAGTCAGTTTTGGCCTACAAGAAAACGGACTAAACAGTTTTGGCCTACAAGAAAACGGACTAAACAGTTTTGGCCTACAAGAAAACGGACTAAACAGTTTTGGCCTACAAGAAAACGGACTAAACAGTTTTGGCCTACAAGAAAACGGACTAAACAAGTTCCGTGCAATCGTCTCTGAAGTCTCATTCGTTGTGGGTAACCCTGTAAACTGATATTTATTTGTCGCATTGAAACAAATTCAAAATTTACAGTATCGTGGTACAATAGAATAGTTTTGGAATTCTAACAGCATAAACCTTCCTTTCCAATTTNAGAAAAATATTTTATAGGGGGTGCTATAAGAAGTTGATTTGAAATGTTTTTTAAAAAAATCATTAAAAAGAAGTGAAGTCTGGTAATTTTCAAAAATATTAAAAATTTACTTGCGGGGAATGGAGGCTTCAAGGATACGTAATAGGATTAATCAAGAAGAGAAGAGAGGGGGAAGGGTGGGGGGTCGAATTAGAAATTATGATATTCAGTTTAACTTTTCAATTGAGACATGCTCCACCTACAAGAAATATAATAATGTCCAGGTTTAAAAACAAAGTTTTCTCCGAGTCAACCCTTCCAGTGTCCAGGGAAGTGCCTCAGGAAAAGAAAGATGATGATAAAGAGATCAATAAAGATGATTTTGCTACCGAGATTTCTATACTGGGAAAACCTGAAGATATATCTGTTAACATCAACCATAGTTCTGGGGTAGAAACTGAAGAAGAAGATGTATCTGACGATCATCATGAAGATGACCAAGGGGATCCTGAAAATAATCTCGGAGATCCTGAAGCTATCAAGTGGAAGAAAAGGCAGCAATGGGATAAATCAATTGAATTTCTGTTTTCCTGTATTTCTATGTCTGTAGGGTTAGGTAACCAGTTACATACTTTTCAGGAAGTCAATCATTGTTTTTATTCCAGAACTTTGAGATTCAGAGAGAAATGAAATTCCAAACACTGTTTATAAAACGTGGTGCTAAAGGAAATAATTTTATGAAACATTTGTGCACTTTTCTTGATATTGTATGGTTATTTCTAGATATAACAACAGAAAACCAACAAAAGCTAATCTTAATTTTATTTTTGCATTAGATTTAAAAAGATAAAGCGGTCGGCGTGTTTATCAATTGCATTTAAATTTTCTAACAAGGTTTTTTTCAAATTACAAACAAATAGAAGCTGTTAATTGACAGCTTATCTAGTTACTTCTTTATCTATGTGTACACACACTGGTTGAAAGCTTAGTAGAAAGAATAATTTAATATAGAAAGTCGTCTTCACTGTAATGATATATACGACGACTCCATGACTGTATGATATGAAAAGATTTTGAATCCATGAATCAATTCAACTTTATAGCACAGTACTTTAATAAACAGAAAATTTGACATTAATGAAATTGAGCATGAGCTACAGTGCTTGTAGCTTATGAAGTGAAAAATAGTTTGATCAAACTAAATTCGATTAACAATATTTTCATGGCAATCAGACTTTTCTGAAAAGTATTTTTTCTTTTCACAGCCCTAACATTTCAAGTAAACAAAAGATTGTTATTTAAAGACCTGAATAACAGTTCAGCGGATACAAATCAGAGTTGTACAAACAATCATAATTTTTAGCACACACTTCCTTTATTAACTCGTTATTTAGGAAATGTTTGGAGGTTTCCCTTTACGGCGTATGAAAATGGTGGAGGTGCATTCATTATACCTTACATCATTGTTCTACTACTTATTGGTAGACCTTTCTATCTACTAGAGTTAGGTTAGTTTATTATACAGGGTGTCCCACGAAACATTACAATAGCAAGCCGACTTGAAAGTCGTCTTTGATATTTGAATTTATTTGTGACATTTAGTCTTCTATCTACTTTAACATGTATGATTCTTGAAACAATTATTACATAATTCTCCTAGCCCTGGCATTTTCAAAAAGTGGTCTGCGTTTTTTGTGCTTTCAATATTACCGGAGATATAAAGAGTTTGGTTCAGAAATCAATTTTGTTAAATAAAAGCAAAATTCTCGAAATCTGAACAAAATTGTTCATATCTCGAGCTATATTGAAAGCACAAAAAATGCAGACCACATTTTGGAAATGGCAGGACTAGGGGAATTATGTGATTATTATCTCTAGAAATTTACTTCTAAAATTAGGTTGACAAAAAAATGCAGCAAATTATATCAAAAATCAAGACGATATTCAAGTCGTCTTGCATACTGTCATGTTTCGTGGGACACCCTGTACCTTACATCATTGTTCTACTACTTATTGGTAGACCTTTCTATCTATTAGAGTTAGGTCAGTTTATTATACCCTACATTGTTCTACTACTTATTGGTAGACCTTTCTATCTACCAGAGTTAGGTTAGTTTACTATACCCTACCTTGTTCTACTACTTATTGGTAGACCTTTCTATCTACTAGAGTTAGGTTAGTTTACTATACCCTACCTTGTTCTACTACTTATTGGTAGACCTTTCTATCTACTATAGTTAGGTTATTTTATTATACCCTACCTTGTTCTATTACTTATTGGTAGACCTTTCTATCTACTAGAGTTAGGTTATTTTATTGAAAAAATAATGAAAACAAATATTTTATGTATTATTTCAAGATTAGGCTTGGCTAAGGACAAGGCAATTTCTGGGCCGAACGCGGCGTTGCTGCTAGGGTCCGAGATCTGCGGCTAGTAGTTCAAATGAACATAAAAGTAATATGAAAATATGTATTATTTCAGGGTTAGGAAAGGTTAAGACCATTTCTGGTCCGAGCGCTACGGTTAGGACAGGTTAACGATGCGGCTAATAGTTCTAATAAACATAAAAATAGTTCAAATGAACCAAAAATTAGTCGAAATGAAATTTTGCCCGTTTGTCGCACTTTTTGACCCTATTTCGTTTTACCCTTTGTCGCGTTTTTGACCGTTTGTCGTTTGACCCAATTGGTCGTCTTACCCGGCCTATAGCTTGACCCCATGTCGGCGAATACTTATTGCAGACCTTTTTATATTCTGTCAATTAAATTTTAAATTATTTGAATATAATAATATAAGCAGTTTACGTTAAATAGTCAATAAATTAAATTTTTTTTTGTTATTTCTTTGTAGTCTGAAAAAAGGTAGAACATTCAAAATACAGCTTTTTAATTGACAGTTAATTGATTGAAAGAGATATAAAGTACAATTAATATTACATTCTTATCATTTAATAAGGAGCTTTGTTGTTGAATAACAGAAAAATATTTTATAATTTTGTTCAGGATTAGGACAGTTTTCAAGTAGTGGTTGTGTAAAGCTATGGAACCTCGCCCCCCCTTTCCGTGGAATAGGTTACGCCCAGGGGCTTGCTGTCTTTATAGTCTGCTCCTACTACTGTCAACTCATAGGGATGGGAGTCGTTTAAACTACGTTTTTTTGGCTTCAAATGTGTCTTTAAAGAATATGGAATGTTTATCAAATAGCAAAAACTGATTTTATAACATTTAGCAATATTTTTCTTAGACCAAAGAAAACTATGTTTCAAAATAAATAATCAAACGATTTTACCAAAATCGTTTTAGTTAATATCTTTGGCAAGAGTAATGCATAACGTAAAAAGAGCAAACTATTCGAGCATATACAATTTTGAAATAGGACAAGCATCTGAGATCTTTGTAAAGTTTAAAAAAAGCTAAATTTTTCAAAATGTCTCAAAACGATTTCTATTCTATCGACTCATAGCAATCTCCCTATTCTACCTGTTCTCCTCCTTCTACAGTATTCTACCCTGGTCCATCTGCCATATAGAAATGGAACAGAATAATACTATCTGCCTTCCATCAGGTAACATGCTGCCATATAGAGATGGAACAGAAAAATACTATCTGCCTTTCATCAGGTAACATATATTATATATCTGGGATATATCTGCCATATAGAGATGGAACAGAATAATACTATCTGCCTTCCATCAAGTAACATAAATTATATATCTGAGATATATCTGCCATATAGAGATGGAACAGAATAATATTATCTGCCTTTCATCAGGTAACATATATTATATATCTGGGATATATCTGCCATATAGAGATGGAACAGAATAATATTATCTGCCTTTCATCAGGTAACATATATTATATATCTGGGATATATCTGCCATATAGAGATGGAACAGAATAATACTATCTGCCTTCCATCAAGTAACATAAATTATATATCTGGGATATATCTGCCATATAGAGATGGAACAGAATAATACTATCTGCCTTCCGTCAGGTAATATATATTATATATCTGGCGTATATCTGCCATTTATTTGCAATATATCTACCATCTACCATATATCTGCAATATATCTGCCATATATCTCCCATTTATTTGCAATATATCTACCATCTATTATATATCTGGGATATATCTGCCATATAGAGATGGAACAGAATAATACTATCTGCCTTCCGTCAGGTAATATATATTATATATCTGGCGTATATCTGCCATTTATTTGCAATATATCTACCATCTACCATATATCTGCAATATATCTGCCATATATCTCCCATTTATTTGCAATATATCTACCATCTACCATATATCTGCAATATATCCTCCATATATCTGCCATTTATTTGCAATATATCTACCATCTACCATATATCTGCAATATATCTGCCATATATCTCCCATTTATTTACAATATATCAACAATATATCTGCTATATATCTACCATATATCTGCTATATATATGCCATATGTCTGCAACACTGAGATGGAACAAAATAATGCTATCTGCCTTCTCATGTCACATAAATTATATATCTGCCATATATCTGCCATATATCAGTCACATATCTGCTATATATCTGTCATTTATGTAACATAAATCTGCCTTCGGGTCAAATATTTAATATGTCTGCCTTATCTGCCATATATCTGCCATATACCTGCCATTTATTTGCCATATGTCTGCCATATATCTGTCATATATCTGCGACACAGAGAAAGAATAGAATAATACAATTTGCCTTCCTTCAGTTCAAATATTTTATTTATCTACCACATATTTACCGTATATCAACCATAAATCTGCTATATATCTACCACATATTTACCAAATATCAACCATATATCTGCCATATATCTACCATATATCTGCTGTATATCTGCCATATATCTGACATATATCTACCATATATCTGCTATTTATCTTCCATATATCTACCATATATATGCTATTTATCTGACATATATCTACCATATATCTGCTATTTATCTGCCATATATCTGCCATATATCTGCCATATATCTGCCGTATATCTGCCATATATCTGCCGTAAAACAGCCACACAGAGATGGAGCAGAATAATACTTTCTGCCTTTCTTTCAGGTCAAATATATTATATATCTGCCAACTATCTGCTATACATCTGCCATAGATTTGCCATATATCTGTTATATATCTGCCATATATCTGCCATATATCTACTATATAACTACCATTTATCTGCTATATATTTATCATTTATCTGTCATATATCTGCCATAGATCTGCCATATATCCGCCATATATCTGCGATGTATCTGCCATATATCTGCCAATATAGGTCAAACATTATAATTAGATATCAAAATGATAGAATGTCTTACAAACTTTGATAGAACAAAATAAATAATTTGAATTTCTTCTTAAAGGGACTGTTTAGGAGAAATGAAAGGGGATATAGGCTAAAACCTTAACACTTTTGGAGTTGATCACGACCTAAACGATTTCAAAATTTCAATTTGATGTTCCTGACTCGAGAAATTGATGTAAAACTGTGTCAACACTATACCAAAAGTTATATATATGAGATATGGTATATAAATCAAAGTTTTAATCAGATCACATTCAGCAAAATCTGAAAATCAGGATAACGCAGAGGTGCATACTGCATATATATATATATATATGAGTTTGGGTAGAGCGCATATAGGTCACAATCAACTCCTGAAGTGTTTATGTTTCAGCCTATATCCAGGTTTTTATTATCCTGAACTGTCCCTAACAACATACATTGTATACAAAATCGTGTACAATTCTAAAACTAATCCAATCATGAAATCATCATCTCTGGTGTTATCATAATAATTTATTTTTTAGGTCACAACATGTCTGAGTTGAAAATTGGGGATGAAAATATTACAATAGTGTCATCTGCTGAGCAATACTTTACAGTGGGAGTTCTCAATGAGTTTATAGATATATCAGATGGAATCGGGAATCCAGATTTGGCTCTTTGTGGATGCCTCACCCTCTGCTGGATACTTGTCTATTTATCCCTTCTCAGAGGTAATGTTGATTTTGAATGGGGAAATCAGAATTTTATTATTAGCAATCACCAATCCAACCAGGTTATATTTTGCCCAGTGCAAGGTGAATGCATGTTCTGTATGATTATTCAAGACAGGCTGGTACTAGTAAATAGTAGTGGTTCTGATCATGCAACCGTTTGTTGTGAATCAACTCAATCATCTTTTGGGTTCACCTTGCAACTACTCCTGTGCACGCGTAAGCATTTTAAAATCTGTTGATAATTGGTTACTTGGTTAGATTATCTGAATAGACAGACCTACTTATAAATCTTTCATTTTGTTACTAATTAATTGCTGCAGCACTTAAAGTTTATTAACAAGTTGAAACTTTTTTTTTAATTTCCAAAACACATGTTTGTTAAGTTCAGGCTGAGTTATGTCTGCCTAAAAATTAGCCAAATTGTTGATTTCTTAAAAATAGCGCCTGATTTTTAAAATTGTTAAAAAATTTGCTTTTCTTCATTTATCTTTTAAAATGTCTTTGTTTCACCCGTTTAAAGTTTATAAATATTCTGTTGTACAGGTGTTCAGAGTTCTGGTAAAGTAGCTTACTTTACAGCAATATTCCCCTATATAGTGATGCTAATGATGCTAGTAAGAGGACTAACACTGACTGGAGCAGTAGACGGAGTTATATTCCTCTTCAATCCTCAATGGGATATGCTGTACCGGCCCAAGGTGTGGTACGCAGCAGTTACTCAGTCATTTTTCTCTCTAGCAGTTGGATTCGGAATACTTCCAACCTTTGCATCCTACAACAAGTTTAGGTTAAACCTCAACAGAGATTGTGTCATCATTGCAGTAGCAGACACCTTCACATCATTACTAGCAGCGGTTATCACTTTCTCTATAGTTGGACATTTGGCTTATGAGCTGGATTTACCAGTTGAGAAAGTTGTAAAGTCAGGAGTTGGGATGGCTTTCATTACCTATGCGGAAGCGCTGGCACAGTTTGATGTCGCCCCTCAATTATTCGCTGTTCTGTTTTATCTCATGCTCATAACGCTGGGACTAGGAACCGTTATCGGTATGATCAATGCTGTTGTAACCATATTCCGAGATCAGTTTAAATTTCACAAAACCCTGATAACTGGAGTTGTTTGTCTGGTGGGTTGTGGGACAGGAGTAGTGTACACTACACCAGGAGGACAAGCGTTACTTCAACTAGTGGATTTCTACGGAGGAAGTTTACTTGTGCTTTTCATCGCCCTCACTGAGATCATTGGAATTGCCTGGGTCTATAAAACCTCCAGAATAGTTCAAGATTTCAACTTTATGATGAACTGGAGTTTCGGCCTCTATTGGAAATTTTGTTGGACGTTTTTTATCCCAGTGGGGTTGACATTTATTCTAGGATACATATTGATATTCTACCAACCGGTTATATATTCAGGGGTTCAGCTACCAGATTCTGCCGAGCTAGCAGGCTGGTTATTATTTGCTTCCGGGGTTCTTATCATTGGCAGCCATTTTCTTTACACAATAATTCTCCATTGTGTTGCACACAAGATAATAAACCCAAGTGGGGCATTCAAACCACTCAACAAATGGGGGCCAAGAAGACCAAAAGATCGAGAAGATTGGATTGAGATGCTCAAGCTCCTATAGAATTTGTGATCAAAATTGTTTTGTTTTTTACATTATAATTATTGCAATAAATACCAGAAAGATCATGAACGGTAAAAACCGATAATTTTGAAATCATTAACGAACAAAAACAATCGTTCATTTTAAAAAAGAGTGGTAGATACATGTTTTTGAATGCCCTCTTCCAATTTTCTGAAAAGTCGGTCTTTTAAACGAATTGTTTGAAAAAGTCTAAGTATTGCCCTAATTGTAACTATACTTCTTAGGGTCAATAAGTACAGGACAATCTATATCAAATCATCTTTATATAAATAACAGAATAATTATACGTCTGATCCATGCAAAGGTCCAACTTCTCATGTTTAAATAGTTTTAAAAATCATCATCTTTTACAATAGAGATAAATTCTGCATAAATCCGCAATTTATGTATTTCTGAAGAAAAAACTGCAATAGAAAATTGTCAATTTTAAAATAGTTATAGATATATGAGGATAATATCCATTATTTAAAACACATTAATTAGAATAGATATAAATGTTGACATGATTATTTTAATGGGACGTTTCTCTACAAAAGTTAACGAAGCATTTGTTTACTGCTGCAAGAAAACACGAATATTATCAGACATCAGAATTGAACACTTTTAAATCTAGCAAATTGACTTCTTACGCATTACTGATCAGATAAAGGTTTCTAAGGTACTGTTGTGATTCGAGCATGGAGGATCGATTGAACTTACAATTGCAGTAAACAAATCATTCAGATATTACGAACAATAATTTTTCGACGCATTCGTATATAGTGGATATTTCATAATATTTTCTTATTTTTCATGATCTGAGAGTTACTTTTGAAAAGCGTTTATTTTTCGTATACCCCTTTACATTTTTCGCGAACACTCCCTTTGAAGAGGGACATGCCAAATACACATTTATCCTATATTTATTATTTAATAAACAATGTGAAAGATACGGTCAGGTTTTCATCTTATTAATACTAAATTATGTAAAATGTGTTCTTCGTTTGTAATAAAATCCACAATTGCACCTTAGAATTAGAAAAAATTTAAAATAATTGATTTTCAAAGAGAACAAGCATCGATATCTCATTCATTTATGAAAAAAGCTTAAAAGGGTGCAGTTGTTAATGGGTCGTGCCCTTCAATTGACATTAGTTGATAGTCCTTTTAAGGGTTATAACATCATTACAAACTTCAAGCCCTGTCTAAAAATTATTAAGAAAAAATATTTTATTTTATTTCTTTAATATATACAAAATGACTGGAGCAACAAACAAGTTTATGGAATGGGTAAAGTACAAGTAATAGGTCCCCCCAATTGTTTAAGGAATGGGTAAAGTACAAGTAATAGGTCCCCCCAATTGTTTAAGGAATGAGTATAGTACAAGTAATAGGTCCCCCCAATTGTTTAAGGAATGAGTAAAGTACAAGTAATAGGTCCCCCCAATTGTTTAAGGAATGGGTAAAGTACAAGGAATAGGTCCCCCCAATTGTTTAAGGAATGGGTAAAGTACAAGTAATAGGTCCCCCCAATTGTTTTAGAAATGGGTAAAGTACAAGGAATAGGTCCCCCCAATTGTTTAAGGAATGGGCAAAGTACAAGGAATAGGTCCCCCCAATTGTTTAAGGAATGGGCAAAGTACAAGTAAAATAGGTCCCCCCAATTGTTTTCTTTACCTTTCTACACTTTTTAAAATAAGTATGGCAATATTTTGAAAATTTAAAATTAAAAAATAAACCATTGCATTTATCTTAATAAAATTGAAATAAAAAATGCTTGATAAATAACAAAACATTAAGAACAAGATTTATATACAACAAATTGTACAAAAGGTTTGAGCTAGTTTTCAGAACTGTACAATTATACAACGATACAAACATAAAAAATTAACTATATATACAAACAATTAGGAACATCTGTATGCACGTACATATAAAGAGTCAATATTTAGACGCTAAAAATTAAAATTCTCGGATAGAGGAATTAAAACATAGGGAGAGTTATTAACCAATTGTAAATACACATATTTAGTACTTTCTTTTTGGCTCAAAGATGTTCATGAGGGCACAAAAATAAAAACTTTGCCTAGCAGACATTTTGGACATGACAGGCTCTTCAAAGAAACTACAAATGGCTAAGTCAAGATCCTAAAATCATAACTAAGGGACTGTCTGCGTATTTAGAAAACGATAAACAATCCCATTAAAAATACAAAATTAGATATATAAGAATTCCACTGTTAAAGATATTTAAGAAATGTTACAACAAAATTAAGTTATGTAAACATGAATATAAAAAATTAATAAAATAAATAAAATTATTTGAATAAGAATTTACACGAATATTGGGAATAGTATTTCAACCATCTTCAATATTAAAGGGACTGTAAGCGTAATTTCTAGTGACCCTCCATTTAATGATGACAATGCTCAATTCACAACGGTACCCTTACAATCTTTATCTGATCATTAATGCGCAAGATTGTAAATGGGACAAAGTCATTTTTGCATGGATGGACGGTTACGTGAACTTATAGTCCCTTTAATGGTAAAAATTTACTTTAACTTATACTTAAGTTTGATTTAAAGGTTAAATGCTTTTGTCAAAACTCCAAAGAGTGAGTTAAAAGGTTAATAAAAATAGAGTGTCGTTGTTTAATTTCTTGTGGCCAATTATAAACAGAGGACGGTGGTAAATTCACAACGGTACCATTTATTAAACCTTTATCTGATATAGTAAACGGAGAGATATTGTAGTTTTCCAGAGCTGTTTCAGCATCACAAATCCACAGTTCACTTTAAAAGGGTAACCACGATAAAAAATTATAGATTTTCAGAGAGAAAAACATTACTATGTTTTTAGCATTGATCAGGGTACCGTTGTGAATGCGGACCCTCTTACTTTTACGATTTCATAACTTTTAGGATTAGTTAAGATTAGTAAATAATTATAAATTGAAATGTGCTCACATGAATGACACCTAGGAATAAAAAACATGTTTAAAAGAGACGATAATGCCATTTTAAGTGACCCTCCATTTAAAGTGGCATAACCGATTCACAATGGTAATCTTTAAACCTTTGTTATTTGATAAAGAAAACGTTCCTTAAAAATGATTAAAAAGGCCCCGTTGTGATTCGGTATCGTCATACTTGAAATAAAGTATCACTTATATGACGTGTACACTCCCTTTAGTTCAGTCAAATGAGATCAAGAATATTTGCTCCACAGGAAACTAAACACGGAAACAAGAAAATCAATCATTTTGTTATAAATATCTAACTTAACGAAAACATTTCTGAATAACAACAATTTGTTCGAAATTACGAAAATAATGTTAGGTACATAAATATTTGCGAGTTATAGCTAATATTCTGTTTATAACTTTCAATCAAACTGTATAATTCTGAAATGCGTTTAAGTTTGATATTACGAAAAAAATGTTAGTTAATTCTAACAGCGCGTAAACAGAAGTCAGTCAGGAAGAGTTCTGTAGTGAATTACTGCAAAGTTGTTGTTTGTTTGCGGAGTTTAAGAAATAATATAGTTTATGGTTTCCAAAGGAGCACTGGTAACTGAGAAACATTATAATAGTATCAATAAAAACATAGTAAAAAAAACAATATTATAATAATAAATATTTCACAAATCATAGTTTCAGGAACTTAAAAACATTTACAAATATAATACCTAACAATAACGATAAGGATAAAATGTTTAAAATAACATTTTTTAAGTAGGTATGTTTTTTAAAATTTAGTAATAATTTTTTTCATATGTTTGCTGTCTATTTCTTCTGTATGTTAAAAGTTCTACTGTTTTGCATTTAAAGTAATGAAATTAGTAAAATGCGTAAAAAATCATGTTAAACTTAAAAACAAACTATTCTGTAGTTTTTACAAAGACTAGGATTTTTGTATTACAGTGTTCTCAAATAAAATGTGGATACAAAGACGATTTTGACCTCAAGAATATGGTTTACCATAAATTAACAACTTCTATTGTTGTCGACTTGATAATTTTTCAAAATATTTAATTTGTCGAGCTATATAAAATCTATCAATGGCCGATTTTCACCGTCAATTTTGGATGCTTTTTTTCTCACTTATTTCTGGTGACCACTGTCCACTATATCTCTAATTAGTACTGGAGCACCTAATGTTTTGTCTTTGTAACCTAATCCAATGTTGGATACACAGATATCATGTCACTTTATTTTATTGTCTGTGCAACGTTGCACGTAGAGGATATTTGAGCATTGGTCATTTAATTGAGCGCGGTCACAAGTATGGCAGATGACTGAGGAGATAAACGGTCATACTGGTTGCATGACCGGGGTTAGTGTAATGATCTTGTGTCCTCTCCATATGTTGAATTTGAATATCTAGTGCTGTTTACATGGCTAAATGTGTCCGGGTGCCCGGTGTCCAGTTTGACCGGCCAATTTTCTATTTGATCACCAACAGATCTCCGGAGAACATGCGCATGGTGACTCTGAAATCAAATTATTCTTTTAAAATCTTGCAAATTATTTTTGGCACAAAAATTAGCTATGCCAATTGCAAATCTTCTTCCAAAAAGACTATTTTAAAAAAATCAATTGAAAAACAATTAATTTTTAAAATGTGACGGGTATGCAAGTTTAAAAAAAAATTTTGCTTAATTTAAAAAAAATCAATTTCTTTATTTTATATATTGGACTTCTTTGAACATTGTAAATACATGGGATTTTTAAAGCTTTAATAATGCAAANCTGGCAAATTATATACTTTTATTATAAATAATATATATTTACATGATGAAGTGTATCCTGGAAGAAACCCCAGTCAGCTTTTATCATATCACTCGCTTTCTCAGCAATCATAATCGTTGGAGCATTCGTGTTTCCTAAAAAATAATATTAAAGGGACTGTAGACGTTATTTCAAGTTAACCTTATATAAAGTGTCATGTCTGATTCCGAACAGAACCCTTTAAACCTTTGGCTGATCAAAGATGAATGAGATATGCTTGATTTTCTTGCTGAACATTAATTTTTTCAATTGTGGTCCTTCTGTAAATGTCAGTAATTGATGCATCAGAGACAATGAGATAAATGCTACATGCTTAACACAGAAAAACGATAACAACTTCATCTTGTTATTTCAGATACAGTGATAGCCAGAAAACTCTGGAATAGGAAAACGACTTCTAGACTCAGGTTATGAGTGACTTTAAATAATACAGAAAACATGAGGCAAAACAATAGTACAGTGCAAAAGACCCATTTCACTTAATTAGTGATTTTACAACTTACTATTAGAGCTTTTTTCTTTGTAACATCATCAAATGCACATCACTAATGCTTTAATGTCGTCTTTCTATTCTACAGTTTTCTAGTTATTAATATAGATAGTGGTTTCAATGGTAAATAAATAATAAATAATAAATAATAAATTTCAATTGAAACTTTAGTTCCCTAAAGTAATATCTAATAAGATATGTCTCTCTGTATTTTGATCATAAATACCAATTAATTTTCTAATATAATAATTTGAACATAAATATTATTATTTCTTTGTTTACTTGATAACATCAAAAGGGGGTACAAATATGGATGCTGTAGAACCATGATTGCTAAATTCCGATTAACAGTACTTTATTCTGTACATTCGAAAACATTTGAAGTACAAATAATGGGACGTTTTATGTATGCAATTACGCATCATTTTCTAGTAGCTGTGCTTCCAGCAATCATGTTTCCAGCAATTAAACCTGCAATTATATATATATATAAATCTACCTGAAGGAATGGTTGGCATTATACTCGCATCAATAACCCTGAGTCTAGGTATTCCATAAACCTAGAAAATCATTAGAAAAAATAAGTCAATCCTTGTCCTTTTTTCCCATCATGACACATAGATCCAGACTGCAATGATAAGTTGCATCAATTGACTGGGTTGACTTTTAAGTGTCGCAACGCCTTGGTCTTACATCACTAATTCACTTTTTTTGTAGCCCTAGATATGTTTCATTTAAAACGATCAAGCAATTACTTGGTTTTAGTTTTCAATAAATCATCGTATTTTGCGTGAGGGCAATCAAATCCAATTTAATTTGGTAGCAGCAGCTTTATTTATCCCATTTCATTTGTAATTACTTCCTTTCGTTGAAAGAAATTTTATGACAACGAAGACGACAATTTTCGACTTAATATCGGTTATTACAAAATAAATATATTCGGTTAATATTGAGACAAACTGTTTGATTATCAAACCAAAAAAAAAGAAAATTTTAATTGACAATAAAAAAGTAACAAGATATTAAAACATAAACAGGTGGTGGTGCCCAGGGGGGAGTGGGGATAAGAAATTTTTTTACCTTTAGTTCATGATTTACCACGGATCCGGGGTCTGAGGGGGGACCCATCTTGGCTGTTCCTATAATAAAATAAAGTGTTTTTTTGGTTGAAACAATAATTAATTTAAGATTAAAAATATAAAGAAAAACTAGTGAATATCAGCTACCCCTCCCCCCCCCGTCCCTCGTGAACCTAAAGAGATCAAACCTGAATGATGATAAATTGTGATAGTAAACTGTCTACAGATACACTCCCAATATTCATCCGACCAAAGATCGGTGTTTTCGCAACCTGGTAAAAAGAATAAAAAAATATTGAAAATAATTTCATTATAGTCGATTTAAAAAATAATAGTAAAATCTTTTTCTGCGTGGTATCATTATCATTATGACTACTATTCTCTATTTGGGCACCGTTGTACAGTCCGTTTTTAAACATTCAAAGCTATTGGCTTAAAAGATGCAGTAAAAGAATTTCCGATTTCATACAACGTTAAAACCGATAATGACTTCCCTATAAATATATAAAAAATGTTCACAACAATTTTACCACTTCCATTAAAACAACCCGTTTTGCTTGATATTGTTGTTTAGGATAAAATTTTTGCACAGTTTAATAATAGACATTTTTTGCACAGTTCAATAATAGTAAATTTTTGCACAGTTTAGTAATAGCAAATTTTTGCACAGTTTAATAATTCTAAATTTTTCGAGCATTGCATTTAAAGTTAATGTTAAAAACATACCTATAAACGAAGCCCATCATTACCTGGAAGTGGGCATCTGAAGTCTATGTTAAAAGCAGACCTCTAAACGAAGTTCATCATTACCTGGAAGTGGGATTGCATCTGAAGTCTATGTTAAAAGCAGACCTCTAAACGAAGCTCATCATTACCTGGAAGTGGGATTGCATCCCAGAATTTTGACCCCAAACTCTCAAATGCTTTTGTTTGAGCCAGAGCCAACGCTATTTTTACTCCCTCCACTAAAACCTTCAAAGCAAAATTCAAGTTAAAAACACAAATTAAATTTTATACAACAATGCACAATTTCTGAAAAAGAATAACATGTGGAAAAGAGGGGAAAATAAAAAGATAATAAAGAAAGAAAGATCGAGTTGTATACAATGAGAACCAGGTAATAGGAAGACATCATGGAAGCAATAACAACCGTTTTATTAGTGACTTACTAAATCACTTATTTAGTGAAATGGGCCTGTTTACACTGCACAGTTGCGGTGTCTCAGGTTCATTAGACTATTTAAAGTCATAACGAGACTAAACGTTAAAACGAATAAATGACTAAATATTTCGGAATTTTCGGGTTCTTAGTAGCTATATATGCATTTCCTTATATATATATATATAACTAATTCCCCCTTCAACACCCCCCTTCCCTTTCTCAATTTTAACCAAAGTTCTAGTTTATATATTTATTTTTCTTCCAAATTATACTGTACCTTGATATCGTCTGGATGTGTAAAGTATCCAGCATAAAATAATGGTTTATCGAACGGATTCGAGGTTCGAAGCATTACTCGTCCACGGGATTTTGGCCTGAATTATAAATAAATTGTCATACATTATTCGATTTTTACGTCAAAATTACATTTCGTCAATTTAAAATTGGTCAATCTTTAACAATATGTCAACTACTACATTTCATCCCACTACATTTAAAAACTAAATACTCAAATTCAACTCCCGTCAAATCACTCTCAGAGACTTGTCTCATATTTGTCTTAAGCCAACTTACATTTCTGAAATGAATTTTTTGTTTCATAAAGATTGGAAAATTACGTAAGTATCATAGCATAGATGGCCTATGTATCTTTGTAGTCTGTACGCTAGAGGTCTATAAAGTATACCTGAGTACCATAGGATAGATGGCCAATGTACTCTGTACGCTAGAGGTCTATAAAGTATACCTGAGTATCATAGGATAGATGGCCCATGTACTCTGTACGCTAGAGGTCTATAAAGTATACTTGAGTATCATAGGATAGATGGCCCATGTATCTCTGTACGCTAGAGGTCTATAAAGTATACCTGAGTATCATAGGATAGATGGCCCATGTATCTCTGTACGCTAGAGGTCTATAAAGTATACTTGAGTATCATAGGATAGATGGCCCATGTATCTCTGTACGCTAGAGGTCTATAAAGTATACCTGAGTATCATAGGATAGATGGCCCATGTATCTCTGTACGCTAGAGGTCTATAAAACTGCCACATGGTGTCGGATATTCCAAAAGACTGAAATAAAGATATATTTATAACAAAGGAATGTTAAATTAAAATATATTTTGATAGATAATTGTCTTAAAACATTTTTTTAGAAAGTGAATATTTGCAAATTATCTTTTTTCCATCTCATAATCTGAGTTCTTTTCCTTTATGTCCATTTGAAAGCCCAAATTTTTATTTTGAATAATCTTTTTGCTTGTTTATCTTCTTGTTATTTTTACATTTTTTTAATTTTTTTTTTTATCGATTTTGATGGTTATTATATCGTTAGAACTGACGAGGGTCAACCCAGACCGAAATAAATTTTCAATAAATGTGGAACTAACATCTACTTTTTTACTCTACAGAGGTTTGGTCCATCACCATCACTGAATTTTAGATTAAACCTATATCATGACTCCATGCATAAAAGAATTATTGAGAAGAACAAAAATGTTTTGAATCTCCAGTGGCATGAGCCAAAAATTTGCCTTTCGCTCGCTAATGCGTAAAATCACAAAGGTCACAAAGTTGTACCTGTGATGTAAATTTGAAGGAAGTAAAGATAAAAAACTACTGGGAGGGTGATTGCACATGTTCAACCATATATTTAATTATTTTCCTCTCAAGAAAACAATAATTTCCACCGTAAGTTAAAGAAAGGTTGTTGGCACGTTTCATATAGAAAGAACATTTTAAAGATGAATATTTAAAGACACCTGCCCTGTCTACGAAATGTTTTATAAGAAATGTCTAAAAACAAAAATAGAAACTTTTAAAACTTCAATAATGTTCTTATTGGATAGAAATGAAATTTGAAATGAAAACAACAAAAAGCATGAACATTAGACAGTTAAGAAGCAGCAAACATTAATAATAATTTCGACATTAAAATTTATAAAGTTTTTTTCCTATTTCGGTCGAGGAATAATATGTCTGAGGCCGTTATAAATTTAACAATTGTCTGACTAACCTTTCTAACTTGTCTGCCACCGTCTGATCCTGGAGTAGCGGAAGCAAAATGGAATTCTATATCCGGCCAATCCTTGCTCCTGTTTGTATACTTGGTAGGAACCCAGGCTAAACCCTTAATTTATCGTTCATTGTCATTTAAAGTACTGTACTGGTACTAGAACTGTTACCTGTACTGTACTGTACTGTACTGTACTGTACTGTACTGTACTGTACTGTACAGTACTGTACCGTACAGTACTGTACAGTACTGTACAGTACTGTACTGTACTGTACTGTACTGTACTGTACTGTACTGTACTGTACTGTACTGTACTGTACTGTACTGTACTGTACTGTACTGTACTGTACTGTACTGTACTTGAAAACTGCTAGAAAGTGAAACTATATATAAAGCTACGTATGTAGTCCCTTGAAGGGTGAAAAAAAAATCAGTTAATGTCAAAAATTAGAATTTTAGATTTGTTGAGTTCAAAATTCATAATTTTCAAATTTAGAATCAGAAGTTAGAATTTTCAGATTAAATAATAGTTTATAATTTCAAGACCTACCTCTACTCCTCCTAGCACAGTGAGGGGTCCTGTACCAAATATTGCATACTTCAGAACAGAAGGGATGTTTTCATACCGGGACTGCACCAACGATACTAAACAAAATAAAGTTTAAATCATTTATTTATTTAAAAAAAATGATTTTCAATGATCTAAATGGCAACTGCCAATTTATTTCATTCAAAAGTCTACTTTTTTCTTCGTTTATTAAGAAGAATTACTCTTCAATAATCCTTGGAAAAAAATTAGGCTTTCATTAATTACAGTCGTCGTCGTATATATCAATAAAATAAAGACGACTTTCAGTTTCAATGTTTGATTTCTACCAAGCTTTCAAACAGTATGGATACACATAAACATGGAAACAAAGAGAAGCTGTAAATTAACAGCTTTAAATCAAATCAAGAAGCTATGGCTTATCTAATTGCTAACTTGTAAACTTGTAATTTGAAAATTTGCTATAAATCATAAGTCGTCTTCATTGTATTAATATAAACGCCGACCACTGCAGGATTTAAAAACTGAGTAAATGTACGCCCAATTTTCTCATTCATTAGAGAGTAGAAAGTTATTTTAAAGACCAATAAAAAATAGATAGAAAAAAATCTGCTGTTCGTGTGATATTTACAAATTACAAATCATGCTATTTAACGACAAATTCTTATTTAACAATGAAATTTCATGAAATTTAATCTAAATCGCATTCATTTAAATAAATATTTTGCCACTATAGTAACTATTGGTTTTTACCTAATTTTGTGACTCTTTCTTATGGTCAATTTAATTTACTATTTATATTCCTATTTAATTGTAGAATACCTACATATTTTTCAATCTAATTTTGAGACACCTTGTCAAACAATTCAAAATACAATAATATTTTGGGACACCATAACATAATAATAAGTATTAATAGATGTGCCTTTTTTATTTTTACTTGATTTTGGGAACATAACAGACTAACGTTTTTTTCTAACCTAAATTTGAGACACCTTGCATAGAACTGTTTAGTTATCTTGTTTATTAATTTAATTTTATTACACCTTGTACATTTTTTAAGTACTCATATTTTTATAAAATTTTGAGCGTACTTTCTTTAAATAAATAAATTTCGGGAATAAATAATTTTTAACTAATTCCTTATTTTGGGTCACTTTTATATTTTACCTGGTTGTTCTAGGGTGAAAGCTAATGCCCCTGTTCCATAATGGTCCTTAAAAATATATATTTTCAAAAAAAATTTGTTTTTAGACTTCAATAACCATGACCTCGTTATTTAGAAAATACCATTTTAAGAAATAAAATTTCTTAAAAAATTATCAAAATGTTGGTTAATTTTTGAAAAATACACGTAAAAAAATGACGACATTAAAAAGAAATTGAAAAGCTTACCATAAGATTGTATCCCACAGGGAGATTTTGCCGGACAGGAATTCTCAAATCCTCCAAATGATCCTAAAACAATAAACTATGTTAAAAAAAAAATTGCTAAAAAATAGCTCACTTAATTTTTTTAAAGATTTTGGAAGTGCCTAAAAAGATTTTTCAATTAAAAAATATGGAAGGCTCATAAAATAGATTTTCCAGTATTCACTGAGAAAAAAAAAACATAGAGTAATTGTAAAGAGTAAGAATTAACACTGTAAAGCATGTGAAGCGAAGCTGTCTGAACTTTAATAAATCTCTTTTACCTGTGGTCCTATTCCACTGTAAAGCATGTGAAGCGAAGCTATCTGAACTTTAATAAATCTCTTTTACCTGTGGTCCCATTCCACTGTAAAGTATGTGAAGCGAAGCTGTCTGAACTTTAATAAATCTCTTTTACCTGTGGTCCTATTCCACTGTAAAGTATGTGAAGCGAAGCTGTCTGAACTTTAATAAATCTCTTTTACCTGTGGTCCTATTCCACTGAGCATAAGCAGTTGCGCAGAGTTCAGAGTTCCAGCAGACAGAATAACCTAGGATAACAAGTGTTTTAGAGTTTTAAAAATTTATATTTTACGCTCGCTCTCTCCTCCTGGAAAATGTACTTTGGAATAAAATTTCGTTGTTTTCAAGAATTTATGCTTCACACATAGTTTCCCCTATCAATTAGAGAATATGTTGTAGAAGATATTTTTATCAAAAAAGAGATACAAAAAAGCAAGGAATAAAAATATTATAAAATATTAGTATTTAAAGGGGCTGTAAACGTAATTTCAAGTGCCCCTCTAAATTGACATAAAAAATAAAATGATAACTTTTACGCTTTTTTTCGAGGATGACAGAGAATTACTTATTTTACTGACTGGAAATTGGGTGCCTTTTCCGCAGAAACTCTTTAATTTTATTTGAAAAATATTCTAATATTCATTTACAGGGAATCAGAGAAAGTACGTAAAGAGTCCCTTTAATAAAAACAATTCTCACCTCTTTCTTTGCAACAATTGTATACAGTTTATCATATCGTTTAAGTTTGATACCGTATGCAGTGTTATGCGAATCCATCAAAATCTAAATTAAAACAGGTAAAAAAAAACCATGTTATTACCTAAAAAATAATTGATAATTAGCCTCCTTATTTCTACTCTCATTGATAAATACTCTCCTTGATAAATACTCTCCTTGATAAATGCTCTCCTTGATAAATACTCTCCAGCTCTCCTTATCTCTACTCTCATTGATAAATACTCTCCTTAGCTCTACTCTCATTGATAAATACTTTCCTTAGTTCTACTCCCATTGATAAATACTCTCCTTAGCTCTACTCTCATTGATAAATACTCTCCTTATCTCTACTTTGATTGATAAATACTCTCCTTAGCTCTACTATTATTGATAAATACTCTCCTTAGCTCTACTCTCATTGATAAATACTCTCCTTATCTCTATTCTCATTGATTAATACTCTCCTTATCTCTATTCTTATTGATAAATACTCTCCTTACTGCTTTTCTCTCACCTTGAGTACATGGGATTCCATGGCGATATGAAGATTTTTCCTGTCTCGTATAGGTCGCAAGAAAGCTTTAGCTGTCGAACATCTTGAACCTCGACGAATTGTTCCCTTAACAAAACTTATTTTAAACATATTTCTAGAATAATGTTTGTTGAAAGATGTTTAATATCATCGCTATAAGCAACTTAAAATAGTTATATGATAAAATGAGCATAGCAGTCAAAAGGAACTGAACACTCGGTACACATAATAATTCCTACAACTTACAGTACCAGTTTAAATAGTCGAAATATAAAAATTTACTGGTTGCCAAGTATAGCGATTAAAAAAATTTTGTTTATAGCGAAAGTTTAGTTTATTCTTCTTAATAAAGACTTATGCTGCTGTGGATTTTCAATCAAAACAATTGTTTAATGCGTAATCACTAATTAATCGGTGGAATCATAAAACCAGTTGTTTGCCTGTGGAATCATAAAACCAGTTGTTTGCCTGTGGAATCATAAAACTGGTTGTTTACCTGTGGAATCATAAAACCAGTTGTTTACCTGTGGAATCATAAAACCAGTTGTTTACCTGTGGGATCATAAAACCAGTTGTTTACTTGTGGAATCATAAAACCAGTTGCTTACCTGTGGAATCATAAAACCAGTTGTTTACCTGTGAAATCGTAAAACCGGTTGTTTAACTGTGGAATCATAAAACCAGTTCTTTACCTGTGGAATCATAAAACCAGTTGTTTACCTGTGGAATCATAAAATCGGTTGTTTACCTGTGGAGTCATAAAACCGGTTGTTTACCTGTGGAATCATAAAACCAGTTCTTTGCCTGTGGAATCATAAAACCAGTTTTTTACCTGTGGAATCATAAAACCGGTTGTATACCTGTGGAATCATAAAACCAGTTGTTTACCTATGGAATAATAAAACCGGTTGTTTACCTGTGGAATCATAAATCCAGTTGTTTCCCTGTGGAATAATAAAACCAGTTGTTTACCTGTGGAATCATAAAACCAGTTGTTTACCTGTGGAATTTTAAAACCGGTTGTTTACCTGTGGAATCATAAAACCAGTTGTTTACCTGTGGAATCATAACACCAGTTGTTTACCTGTGGAATCATAAAACCGGTTTGGAATTCTCCATTACCATCTCGGTTCTGATATCCCATTTCTACCCCAGCAGCTACAAACGTGGTTGCCAGTGGAGTTCTAAAAAAAGCAGTCAAATATTTTTTCCGGAATTAATTACAAATAAAAAAACATATTTATTGAACAGTCTCTTTATGAATTTAGGTAATCCTACCTCCAGGGAGCTTCTTGTACCGTAAGGTATCCTCCAGATTTATGGTATGGCGTTGCGGCTAGGTAAGGGTTTCTAAATTCAAATAAAATATTAAATCAATTATTTTTATTTCTTCCGAAAATGTTTTTATATGTCGTTTCAGCTTCTAAGCCCTCACGTTAAAGAGAATATCAACGTAATTTCAAGAAGCCTTCACATTTGAGAGTCACATTTGAGAGTCACATTTGATGCACAATTCTACCCCTAAAACGTTTATCTGATCGCCGCGCTTTTATATCTGTCATAAAAAGGGTAAATTTGTGAATTTCCTTTCTTGTTTTTTAAGCATACTTTCGCAAGTTTTTGCTTTGATAAATACAGGGTGTCCCACGAAACATGACAGTTGGTAAATAGTTTTGAATGTCGTCTTTCGTACACTATATTACATATTAATGGCTGTTTGCAGGTTATTTCGTTTAAACAATCTTTTGCTCAAGTTTATTTTACTTTGAAATTAATCTTACCATAATATGACTCCTATATAATATTTTTATTGTTGTCTTTGGTATTAAACAAATTATGGAAGAAGACATTCTAAACTATTTACCAACTGTCATGTTTCGTGGGACACCCTGTATGTGAAAGAAACCGTATATTGTGAATCGGATATGGAACTCTTTATTCCGTCGAAAGTCCCTTTACAATTTTATAATGAAGGAAACTGAAATTTTATAATACGGAAACTGAAACTTTATAATGACGGAAAATGAAATTTTATAATGACGGAAACTGAAATTTTATAATGACGGAAAATGGAATTATATAATGACGGAAACTGACATTTTTTAATGACGGAAACTGAAATTTTATAATGACGAAAAATGAAATTTTATAATTACGGAAATTGAAATTTTATAATGACGGAAACTGAAATTTTATAATGACGAAAACTGAAATTTTATAATGACGGAAACTGAAATTTTATAATGACAGAAACTCTTAAATTTTGTCTGTACGTATCTTATGCACTTTATATTGCAAAGTTCAGTGCCAGGCGTGCAGGATAAATTTAACTCTTCCACATTACATACACAATTCTAATGTTATTAAAATGTTATAAAAATATCCTTTATACTTTGATTCAAATCAAATTTAACTTTAAAAGGCCTAAATAATACAATTTATTTCCAAATTAAAGGCAATGTAGTCGACTAATTTTGCAGTGTCCACTCCAATTAAAAGAGTTCTATGTCTGATTCACAACGATACCTTCATCTCAGCAAAAATGAGAATGCTCCGATGTTTTCTCTCGGAAAGATCAATGGTATGCTCCACGTAAAAGCGAATTGCGAATTTATGCAGCAAAGAGATCAAGGAAAATTAACAGAATTGAACACATGCTTTAAGATAAAAAACGAATGTATATCTTTCTCATAGATTCTCAAATAAAAATTAGATAAGTGCTGATGTGAATTTCTTAAAATCAACGAGGTTATAGTGTATAGAGTGATGATGTACGCTAATCCTTATCAACGAGGTTACAGTGTGTAGAGTGATGATGTACGTTTATCCTTATCAACGAGGTTATAGTGTATAGAGTGATGATGTACGTTTATCCTCATCAACGAGGTTACAGTGTATAGAGTGATGATGTACGCTAATCCTTTACTAGTTGTATAGGCCATCAACTATACCGAGAGCGTACTGCATATTTGATTATTATAAGGAGATTATCATTATAAGTAAACAGCTGTAATTGTACTGTACAGCTAACTGAGCGCACAGGTAGAAAACTATCAACCACTTGTTTAAAATAGGATTGTCCCTAAAATAAATACCTGTTATCTTCAGATTTCAAGAAATAATGAAGCGCGTTTTGAAAACCCCAGCCTGGATTTCCCTAGATATTTAACATTATTTTAGAAAATAAACATTACAGAGAGACCCATTAAACTTTGGAATTTGATGACGACTGTTCGAATAAAGTTGTAATTTTTAATAAACCAATGTATCTTATAAGCTTCTTTTTACTCTATATCAACAGAAATTAAATGTAAGATTGCTGTTGCCTTTCTAATCCACAGTTTTCTGGGTTTCACTGTAAAACAACAGATATTTCATTTTCAATTTTGTTAGAGTAGTAGATAAAAACATTAATAATAAATATGCATTCCAAAAGAAGGTTGAATCAAAATAGTGTTATGCATTAAATTCATGTGACAGTTGAACGTTTCAAGAAATTGAAATATTTTCAACAAAAAATATGCCTCTAAAAGACTAGAGACTTAAACGAACGAATAATAGAAGAACGAAGAGGATAGAATGGCGTCTAGGGACTACAGCAAAGACAAATATAACTAATATCTCTATGAGTTTATATCATTCTTGAAGTACTTCCACAAAGACGAAAATACTGAATTTTCAGTAAGTCTATATCATTCTTGAAGCATGCTTCCACAAAGACGAAAATAGCTGAATTTTCAGTTAGTTTATATCTTTCTTGAAGCACTTCTATAAAGACGAAAATAACTAAATATTCAGTAAGTTTATATCATTCCTAAATATTACCACAATGAGGAAAATAATTGAATTTTCAGTTTGTTTATATCATTCTTGACTCACTACCACAAAGACGAAAATAACTGAATTTTCAGTTCTTTTATATCATTCAGGTTCAACGACTTCCAAAAATACGAATATAAAAATATCATTGTTCACGTTAATGGACATTATGAAGACGAAAATTTAAATAAAATGTCGTCTTCCTTACCTGAGCTTCCCAATCCTCGTAATCTTTCTTGTTCCCTCTGCACCATGAAAAATTAAAATTAGTGAAATCTAAATAAATTGGATAAAAATTGTTCTCAGAACGCTATTTCTTTAGATTAAATTGAAAAAAGAAACAACCTTGATTTTGAGAAATTTTACAAATATGATTTATAAAAGATAATAACAAAATAGCCCTAGTCCTGCCAATTCCAAAATGTGGTCTGTCTTTATTGTGCGTTTAATATATGACAATAATGTGACAATAATATGACAATTGCACAGTGGTTACATCACAGCAATGTTATAAACTGAAATTGAACATCAAGTAGTGAGCAGCAATAATGATGAAGTGTACAATATGTTTAATCAATAGTAAGTTTTTTTTGAATCTCAAAAAGATGAAAAGGTGTCTTTTCTTTTATTCTTAATTCCACTGACGAAATTATTTTGATAATAAATTGATTATTCATATAGTTGAATTAACAATAAACGTCGCTGAGTGCAAATGATAAAATGATTTCTAAAATAAATCTTTATAAAATCAGCTACTTTTCAGATTAAAACTCACTAGTCATCTTTTCAGAGCATACAAAGAAACCAGGATAGAATAAATGAATTTTGTATTTAAAAAATATATATAGGAAAATAACGATATAAGTAAAATTCCATGTATTGTGTAAGTGAAAGAAAAATTGAATAACTATACCTCACATAAAGCATGTAATTCAAAACAGAACTACCTCCCAAAACCTTAAAGAAACAAAAGTTGAAAACACAAATTCAAAATTATCTATATCGTTTTAAAGGATGAGTATTAATGAGTATGGATGAATATGGATGTATATTTATGCGTATGGATGAGTAGGGATTAGTGTAGACGAGTATGGATGAATATGGATGAGTATGGATGACTATGGGTGACTATGGGTGAGTATGGGTGAGTATGGATGTGTATGGATGAGTATGGAAGAGTATGGATGAGTATGGATGAATATGGATGAATATTAATGAATATGGATGTATATTGATGAGTATGGATGAGTATGGATGAGCATGGATGTGTATTGATGAGTATGGATGAGTATTGAGTAAGGATGAGCATTGAGTATGGATGAGTATGGATGAATATGGGTGAGTGTGGATGAGTATGGATAAGTATGGATGAGTATGGATGAGTATGGAAGAGTATGGATGAGTATGGATGAATATGGATGATTATGGATAAGTATGGATGAGTATGGATAAGTATGGATGAGTATGGCTAAGTATGGATAAGCATAGATGAGCTTGGATTAGTATGGATGAGTATGGATGAGTATGGATGAGTATAGATGAGTATAGATGAGTATGGATGAGTATGGATGAGGAGAAAGTATATGTAGAAGAGAAATGAAATTGAGAATTTGCCCTGAAGGTATAGAGCATCCTACCATCCTTCATCCACGACGTGGGAGTGATCATATCTCCAAATATGGTCATAAACACAGTCACTGCCAATAACTTTAGACAAGACACATAAATCATGAGTAAATATATTAAAAAGTTGACTCGCCCGGGGGTACTTTTATAGGATGGTGGATGTGGATGTGGGAGGGGGTGGTCGGGTCATACAAGTTACTTTCACATTTTCAATCATCGACGCGGTAAAACGGCAAAAACGGTAATTCCCCATATTTGGTTCTTTACGAATTTTGTAATACAGGGTGTCCCAATAAACATGCGAATTCAGTGACGAATTCGATATTTTCTTTTTAAATAATTCTTTGATTTAGTATAGTGATACCTACTGAGAAAGCTGTATTCTGTAAGAGTTTCGTCTGCTATGTTCACATTTTGTTTGTTTATTTTTTGTCTGCATAAGGGTGTACTTAGTAAAACAAGAAAATTGCAGTATACAAACAGAGTAAATTTGTCCGTCTTCACTGTTCATCTTGCGGAGACATTATAGAAACATCTTTACAGTCTTTTACCATTTACCCTTTTCATAAAATAAACTCTAGCAGACACAATTATATTATGGCTTTTGAAATTAGGTAATACAATGCTAATTCATAACAAAGACGATATATAATTCTTCATTGAATTCCCATGTTTATTGGGACACCCTGTAGATGATAGTTGAAAAATGTGTTAAGTTGAGAAAAAACTTAAAGGGATTATTCACGTAATTATAAATCAACCTCTATTTGTAAAGTGGCATTTCCGATTCTCAGCAGGTCCCTTTAAACCTTTGAGTGATTAAAATCAACAGTGATATCCTTAAATGTTTAGCTGAAAATTTAATGCAGTGAACAATGTAACACACCTAATCATCAGTAAGAAAATTGACGACATCTTCATCGTCCATGATTAGACATAAACATACTGTAGTGTGGTACCGTGAATCATACATGCTACATTAAGCGTGGTGTGGTACCGTAAATCATACATGCTACATTAAGCGTGGTATGGTACCGTGAATCATACATGCTACATTAAGCGTGGTATGGTACCGTGAATCATACATGCTACATTAAGCGTGGTGTGGTACCGTGAATCATACATGCTACATTATAAATGGAGGGTCACTTGTTATACATCTGCACTCTGCAGCCCTTTCAACATTTCAAGTTAGAATAATCTTATTAAAAGACCCGGCGTTGCCCGTGAAAAAAAAAATTATTTTGATTTTTTTTAGCTTTAAGTGTCCACATAAATTATCAGCCCATTCGGTCTAGCCATTTGGCTGGCTATCGGTGAAATATGTTGTTATGAATGTCTTGTTTTATTATATAGATGAAACATTGCAGATCAGTTTTAGTTTCAACAGATTTTGTAATTAAAAAAATTTATAAAAATCTGTCCAATAGCTGTCAAAGAGATGATTAAAATCCGTGTATTAGTTGTTCAAAATTCAAAACAATTCCTTCGAAATTCTTTTTTTAAGCTTGATACCAATGCAAATGCAGAATTTAGCTTGACTACTTCTTCAGTATTTACCTTTCCTCTCGGCCAATTGCATCGTTGATTTATATGTCCTAGACAAGCACGTCCTGAAAAATAACATTATTTTACTAAATTCTTTTTTTCTTTTTCAAAATACTAAATGTTTCACATTTATTCTGAGAAAAATTAGAATCAATGGAAATATAAACTCCCGAGGGATTCAATGATGAATCCGAGGGTGTAGCCCAAATAGTTTGTCATTATCATTGAATTCAAGATACTGGGTAAGCTTTATAAAAACATTAAATACACATTACTATTATTATTATCAAAGCCATCATTCAAGGAAATAGGGGTCGGGGCTCCAAAATTCAATAAATTTAATAGTTTGAAATTTAAATGTAGGTTACAAAGATTTTTAAGATTAGAAAATTAGAGTTTGACTTAAAGGAAGTTTTTGCGAAAAATCAAAGGGGGTATACAAATCTTGATATCGAATTCATGTTCGATATCGATCGCTACTAATTTCTAAATTTTATCTGTTGCCTTTATAAAGAGAAACTGTTTAAAAAACCTCTTATACCCATAGCCAAGAGCGCAGGAACCATACAAATCCACGAGTTGCATTATTCCACTCATTTCTCGCGAATACTCCCTGTAAGGCAAGTGCTAAATTCCTTTACCTGGTTGTGGTTCAGTTTTATATTTCCAGTCCATCCTACCCAGCTGTAGGTAGGCAGCTAGAGCAGGCACATCAGATATCTCAGTTTCATCCCCTCCTGCTTCAAGCAGTAGGATCTAGGATAGGATAAATTAGACCAGGATCTAGGATAGGGTAAATTAGAGTAGGATCTAGGATTATTAGACCAGGATGAAGGATAGGATAAATTAGACCAGGATCTAGGACAGGATAAATTAGACCAGGATCTAGAATAGGATAAATTAGAGTAGGATCTAGGATAGGATAAATTAGACCAGGATCTAGGATAGAATAAATTAGACCAGGATATAATTTAGACCAGGATCTAGGATAGGATAAATTATTTTACTGTACACTGTAATAATATTATTTGGTAGGTTTACTGTACACTGTAATAATATTATTTGGTAGGTTTACTGTACACTGTAATAATACTATTTGGTAGGTTTATTCGGTACACTGTACACTGTACACTTTACAGTGTACAGTGTACACTGAACCCGATGGTCTACATATGTATAGATTTTTCAGAATTAAGAAATTATAAAAAATGGAGAGACTATAAAGAAACTATTAAATAAAATAATATTTTGTTACACAAATATAGCTTCAAAACTGCCTAATTCAATTCATGAAACCGGCTTTCCGATACTGGGTTTCATGACGATACACTTTTATAAATTTCGGGCTCTATACAGTAGTGTATATATAAATACTGTACATTGTACACTGTACAATTTACAATGTACAGTGAATAATTAATACTTTACACTGTAAATTGTACAGTCTACAATGTACAGTAGTAGTTTATTGTGTACGGAATGTACAAGTACGTACTAAAATTGTATCTTTACATTAAATAGACGTATGTTTGAAAATGGAGTTTAAGAAATTTAAGAATTTTTTTTGTTTTGTTTAGGCAACGGTACTGTGGAGTGGTGGGGGAAGGGATGAAGGTTGTACATAAAAACTGCATTACCGTCGATAACAGGTAGTACAGTACAGTACAGTACAGTACAGTACAGTACAGTACAGTACAGTACAGTACAGTACAGTACAGTACAGTACAGTACAGTACAGTACACTCCAGTACAGTACAGTACAGTACAGTACAGTACAGTACAGTACAGTACAGTACAGTACAGTATAGTTGAATACAGTACAGTAGAGTACAGTAAAGTACAGTACAGTACGGTTACAGTTCATTACAGTAAGTTCAGTTAGGTTCAACAAGAATAATAGCCTAAATTATATGAGGTAATTATAGTCTATGTTTATTTCTTGAATAAGTGCAATATCAATAGATTACATTCCAAGTTTTCCAGTTTCGTGTGAAAAAAAGTTGTGTAAAATCACAAAATAATCCTTGTCTAGTTAAACATCTTTATAATTTACATAACAGAGCGGTTAAAGAGACTGCAGACTTAAATTCAAGTGATACAAAGTACAAATAGCGTTATGCGCACGATTCACATCGGCATTCGTCATTCCTTAAAGGGACTGTAAAGGAAAAATGAAAGGGGGTAAAGGAAGAAACCTGAGAATCTCAGACGCTGAACGATACATATGAGACATCAATCTGATGTTCCTGTCTCAAGAAATTGATATAAAACTGTGTCAAAATTATACGAAAAATCATAAATATACAAGATAAGATGTCTTATAGGTATCGTTCAACGCCCGAGATTATCGGGTTTCATCATCTTCAATTTTTCCTTTGCAGTGATTTTATCGGATGAATAATGACAAAAATATCGTCATTTTCTCTTCAGCATAAATCTGCGAATAACTTTTACAGGGAATCTAAAATGAAAATCATAAATTTTATCTAATATCTATATATTCTTTACTCTGATAAACGTTTAAAACGGATATTCCATTCTTTGAAAGGCCGGGTCACTTGAAATTAAAACGATTACCTAATTGATTGAAATATAATGTTGTGAACTTGAATACATGTTTCAACACATCAAGTTAATTTAAAATTTATTTCTTAGCCTTGCATACATTACAGGGTGTCCCAATAAAAAGGGAAGAAAATTGACGACTATTTAATCGTCTTTGATCTCGCGCAGCAGTAAAGATGAGCTGAGTTCTGAACACATACAAAATTGATTTCAGTAGGGTGTTTTGGGAAACCTTGCAGGATCCAAACTGACATTCTTTCTGTTAAATTCCTGTTTAATAGGTTTGGAACATTCTGGATTTAGCTTCAAGCTATAGCTTTGCTAATTAGATTCAAACATGGTCCAATTGTACTTTCAGTACAGAGACAGACATTTTTGCACAAAGAAGCTTTATTTTAATACTGAGACAAACATTTTAGCTTAGACCACTTGTACTTTCAGTACAGAGATAGACAATTTAGCATAGACCAGTTGACTTTCAGTACAGAAACAGACATTTTAGCATAGACAAATTGTACTTTCAGTACAGAAACAGACATTTTAGCATAGACCAGTTGTACTTTTAGTACAGAAACAGACATTTTAGAACATAGACCAGTTGTACTTTTAGTACAGAAACAGACATTTTAGCATAGACCAGTTGAATTTCAGTACAGAAACAGACATTTAGCATAGACAAGTTGTACTTTCAGTACAGAAACAGACATTTTAGTTTAAACAAGTTGTACTTTCTATACAGAAACAGGCATTTTAGCATGGACCAGTTGACTTTCAACACAGAAACAGACATTTTAGCATAGACCAGTTGAATTTCAGTACAGAAACAGACATTTAGCATAGACAAGTTGTACTTTCAGTACAGAAACAGACATTTTAACATAGATCAGTTGGACTTTTTGTACAGAGACAGACATTTTAGCATAAACCAGTTGTACTTTCAGTACAGAGACAGACGTTTTAGCATAGACAAGTTCTACTTATAGTATAGACATTTTAGCATAGACCAGTTGTACTTTTAGTATAGAGAAAGACATTTTAGCATAGACCAGTTGTACTTTTAGTATAGAAACAGACATTTTATTATAGGCAAGTTGTACTGAAGGAAACAGACCTTTTAGCTTAGACAAGTTGTACTTTCAGTACAGAAACCAGTACAGAAACAGACATTTTGGCATAGACATTTTGTACTTTCAGACTCAGTACAGAAACAGACATTTTAGTATTGACAAGTTTTACTTTCAGTGCAGAAACAGACATTTTAGTTTAGACAAGTTGGCTTTGTACAGAAACAGACATTTTAGCGTAGACATTTTGTACTTTCAGCATAAAGCCAGACATTTCAGCACAGTCCAGTCCTACTTTCAGATCTTGGACAGACATTTCAGCACAGAACGTTGTAGAATACATGAGGCACTTAAATCAGCAAATAATTCTTAATTTTAGTTCTTCAAACAATTTATTTAATGAATTTTCTAAATCTGTCAAAACATTAAAAAGAACAAATTTTCTCCTTAATTACAGAAATATAATTGCCCCCTTCAAGTTTTCTCCTGAATGAGAAGAACCAAATATTGTTTTTAATTTGGTCAAATTTTCTCCAGGCAGTTTACAGAGAGATGTGTCCACCCCCACACATTTAAACTTAATAAAGAGCAGGCCCCCCCCCCCCCCCCTCCCTCCCAGATTTTCTCATAAAATTTCTCCAAAATAACCATTTGTTTTTAAGTATATAAATTCAGATTGTATCCCTTTTTCAAGATTTGATTACATTTCCTTAAAGGGACTGTACGCGTAATTTTAAGTCACCTTCCATGCAAAGATGTTAATGCCCGATCTACAAAGGTACCCTTGAAACCTCTGATCAAAAATGTTTTCATTTTTTCATTTTTTCATTGCTTCTTAAAAGCAAGAAATGCGCAAGTCACTTTCGCAGAGAAACCTCAAATGAAAATTAACAGTTTAAAGAAACTTAAACATGGATATCTAATTCTAATCATACTTGATCAGACAAAGCTTTTCAGGGTACCGTTGTAAATCAGGCTTTGTTATCTCTGCATGAAGGTCACTTGAAATTACGCATACAGTCCCTTTAACCACAAAGACTGGAAGCAAATGCTAAGGAAAACTTAAGGAAAACTAGATCTTTAAAATCCTTCAGTTTACGTGCAAGACAAATTAAATGCAATTTTTGCAAACTCAAGCAAGAGTAAATTTAGCGATTTTTTGCAAACAACATATAGTTTATTAAAACGACTGATTAAACGTAATTTTAATTGACTCTCTATTCTGTATTCACATCGATACCCTTTAAACCTTTAGCTGAGTAATAACATTGAAAATTGTTAAATTATCATTATTTCCTGACATGTTTCTCCAGTTTTTAATTTTTACAGAGAAACCACGACAGAATAAACCAACCAATCTTAATCAGAGGAAAGTTGAAAGGGTACCATTGGTATATTGAAAGAGTAGGCTCGATTCACAACTGTACTCTTTATATCTGAGCAAAAATGTGGAAAAAATAAAACTAAGCAATTTTCCAATGGAAAATGATAAATATCTCATTCAATCTTGTATCAGATTCGGACATTTTCCTGTTCACCGTCTACAGTCTCTTTAATTTCCCTCGTGCACGAACATAGTAGGAAAAATTAAAAAATGAAAACATAAATGTTTCGCATAAATAAAGAAAACACTACCCCAGGGTTAACACTAAAATATGTGGTGCTAAAATCTGCAATTATCTTACGGCATAAATGCATAAATGCCAAGATTGCTATCTCTAAAGCAAATGATGACATTTTTTGCAGCATACCACTGTTGTTAGAGGGCCACTGCCAGCTGTTCTTAACACCACTATACGAACTTTGTTCGTGGAAACATTTCCACATCAATTTATGCGTATTCAGTAGCAAATAATTTAAAGTATGAAATATATATAATCACTAAGATATTGACCGGTCTTTTTTACTGAACAAACTGGCGGCCTGTGGAGATAATGTGTCATGGTTCTTTAGAGACATCCAAATGATAGAAAAAAAAACTATTAATATTTCACGAAGACTAACCTAGCAAAAAAAACTTACCGATGATAATAAAATCATAATATTTGAAAAGATTCTCTGCGTTGTGTGGTTTCTGTTCAGGATCAATCTAAACATTTTAAATTTTAAATTATTTTCTCAAAAATCTGCAGAGTACAGAGAGCCCTATAAAACTGTAGAAGACGACATTTAATCAGATCTTATCAGCGGATGTGTAGATAATTGATGTTGCTAAATAACAAAAGTTAAACCGATGACTTAAAATCAGCTAATTAATTGAAATGGGTGTGTGTACAATGCATCATTATTGTTTTAATGCTCATAACTTGAGTCTAATAGTCGTCTTTTATTCCACAGTATTTTGGGTCTCACTGTATACAGAACACCAGATAGGTAGGACACCAGACAGGACACCAAGTAGACAGGACACCAAGTAGGCAGGACAATTAGTAGACGGGACATCTAACAGACAGAACACGTATTAGAGAGGACACCTAGAAAACAGGACACCTAGTAGACAGGACACAAAGTAGACATGACGGTCTAGCAGATAGGACACCTAGCAGGACACCAAGTTGACAGGACACCTATTGGACAGGACACCTAGAAGACAGGACAGGACAGCAGTAGACAAGGCAAACCTTTGGAAAGCAAAATAAAGAAATAAATCCTGATTCCAATCAATCAATCAATCAAAATTAAGTTAATTCTTTCTCTAAAAATCTGCACAAATGTGTAGCGTGCTGACCCCCCCCCCCCCTCCCTCCACTTTATATTACGGATATTATTCCTGGTTACTGGATACGGAACCGAAACTATCAGGTTATTTAACTGGTATTATGTAGAATTTAAAAGGAAGCTTTTTTAAAGAGAAGCGGGGGAGGGTTAAGAAAATAGAATATGAAGCAGAAAAGATCATTTTTGGCTGAAAGTTTTAAAAGAATCTTTCATAAGAATAAGGTGGAAAGAATGTTCGCCCCCCCCACCAACTCACCTTATTATATTGATAGTAGGATAAAGAAGCGATGAGAAAGGGAAAGAACCAAATGCCTGTAGCGATGAGGGCTGAGGGGGTTAGCCCAGAAATTACTAAAATATAATAATGTCATAATTATGAAAAAATATTTCGATTAACCAACTTCCTTGATTTTTTTTGGCTGAATTCAAACTTTTTGTAGATTTTGTAGAATTGAAAAATCTGTTTTTATAAAAGTTGTTAGGGGCTAGGGAGTAGGTCTGTTAGGGGCTAGGGAGTAGGTCTGTTAGGGGCTAGGGAGTGAGTCTGAAAAATGGCGTAAAACCCATTATTACATTTTCTTAAAATTCGTGAAACATTCGACTGATTAAATCTCAAATTAAACAATTCAATTGAAATCCTTCAGCATAGAGTTGGAAATTGTAGCAATTAACACACAGACGTTACACTCATATTACGAAACTTCAGGGATCAATATTTTCTAACTGATTTTTTTTTTTTTTTTTGGGGGGGGGGTTAATTAAGAAGAATTGAGACGCAATATAAGATACTTCTAGCGTTGTATGTCCGGTTAACAACGATACCTTAAAACCTTCTTCTTTTTTATTTTATTTTATGTACGTGAAACAAGCGGAATTATGCAGGAGAGACAATGAAGGACTTGGCCAGATGGAAAATCCACGATATCTTTCTCATTGTTACTCAGATTTAAAGGGTATCGTTAATAATCGTAAATGCCAACTTGACTTTTAAAATGGAGGCTCACTTGAATATACATATTCAGTCCCGTGTTCATATTCCTCATGGATATTATAGGAAGTAATTGTAAATGAATATATATATATAACCCTGTATATACCGCGGGTTAACGACTGATATTTAAACTTAATCAACTGTATTTCCAGTTTCCACGCTAGCCTGTAATTATCTCGTTCGGGATTTATTTTAAACCTGCTGAATTCCCCGGCGTTGCCCAATTTATTCATAGTTAACGACCGTTAACCCGCACTTGGTTTTAATTCATGATTTAAGCAGTGCCCGGGATAGTCGGAAATATTGAAGATAAAAAAATCCCATATGACTATTATAAGGATGCACAAAGGGTGTCATACATACATGCATATCAGATGTATAAAATGAGACACCAACAACTAAGAACTTTATAGTGTACGGACACTAAGAACTTTACAGTGTACGGACACTAAGAACTTTACTGTGTACGGACACTAAGAACTTTACAGTGTACGAACACTAAGAACTTTACAGTGTAGGGACACTAAGAACTGTACATTGTAGGGAAACTAAGAACGTTACAGTATACGGAAACTATGAACTTTACGTGTACGGACACTAAGAACTTTGCAGTGTACGGACACAAAAACTTAAGAGTGTGCGGACACTGAGAACTTTAGAGTGTACGGACAATAAGAAGTGTACAGTGTACAGACACTAAGAACTTCACTGTGTACGGACACTTAGAAATTTAAGGTGTACGGACAATATGAACTTAACAGTATACGGTCATTAAGAACTATACAGTGTACGGACACCAAAGAACTGTAAATAGCACGGACACCAAGAACTGCACAGTGTACGGACACTAAGATCAGAATGGTGTAAGGACACTAAGAACTATACAGTGTACTATGAACTTTACGTGTACGGACACTAAGAACTTTAACGGACAATAAGAATTTTACGTGTACGGACACTAAGAACTTTAAAGAGTACGGACACTGAGAACTTCACAGTGTACGGACAATAAGAACTATACAGTATGCAGACACTAAGAACTTCACGGTGTACGGACAATATTAACTTAACAGTGTACGGACATTAAGAACCGTACAGTGTACGGATACAAAGAACTGTAAATTGTACGGACACTAAGAACTGCACAGTGTACGGACACTAAGAACTGTACAGTGTACGGAACTAAGAACTGTACAGTGTACGGTCACTAAGTTGTATTTATGCATATAAACTAAAAAATGGAAATTAACTCAAGTAATCAATTTTATCAAAAGTACATGTTTAATCTGGGCTACGGTCACACCAAACATTATAACCAGGAAGATCATTTTTATTGGGTTTATAGGTTGAAAGGGAAGGGAGGAGGGGTAATTAAGGTGGGGCAGAGATTATATTCCCCATTGTGAAACAAAATTTAAAAAAAAACAGAATTAATTACTCGTAAACTGTGTTTATGATCTTCAAATATTTTACAAAATAATTATAATAATAACTTCATCCAACAGATGCCGTCAATAATAGAAGAAATTGCAGATTTAAAGGAAATTTTCACGTTAAGTAAAGAAAAGAAATAACAATTAAATTGTGTATCGGTTTGCAATTTAACTTCTTTCAGATTTATTACATTTTGGGGTTTAGGTGCACTGTGAAAATTGTTTTTTGAGTAATCTCTGTAAAAAAAACAGTTAGTTGTCTTCGGTCGAACACAACGTAAGTTTGCATAAAGTCATTTTTCTATTCCATGTGTTATGTACTTACGGGTCTCACAAATCAAACTATTCTGTTTGCAGAAACATCAGTTAGAAATGAAGAATAAGAAAAAAATCAATTAATTCGTCGATTTCAAGTGGTTCTACATGAAAAGACGACAATGCCTGATTTACAAGGCTACCCTTGTAACCCTAATCTGATCAAACATGTAGAAGATAACGTTGTTTTTTTCTGACTAGACAAGTGTTTAATCCTGATAATTTATCCATTCTTTCTTATAAGCAAGAAATGTGCAAATAATTTTTCCATAGAAACCACAAATCAAAATAAATAGTTTTCAAACACAAAACCATGTACTTCATATTTGATCAGACAAAGCTTGTAAATCTACCATTGCCATGTTTGCCTGGAGAGTAACTGGAAATTACGCTTACAGTCTCTTAAACTATGATTCATTAATTTTATTCGCGAACACTCCCTTTAATATAAAAAGTACGAAATGCGCGAATTTTCAAGAACATGTTATTCAAACAATTCAAAAGGTTTTGGCTAAACTTCGCAACCTTGGAAAACCAAAGCTATCCCAGGAGTATATCTTTGTATTTAAACCAGTTGTTACGAGTGTGTTAGTGCCACAGGATTCACAGTATATGGGAATAGTTTGTATTTATAATACTGGGGGTGCTCCCCCCCCCGCCCCTCCCTCTTTTTTCAGACCGGATATAAACTTAATTGGTTTTTAAAATATTCTTAAAATATGCATTTTCTTTAATGTAATTTATCTATATATTTTTTAATAAAAAAAATTATCAACTTTACTTTTATAACAAACCCAAAACTAAAGAAACTTGGACAATGGAATAGTATTTTTAAATTACGAACATTTTTTGACTGAATGTAAGGGACTTACACATTTGTGAGATAGGCCTAACATATTCTTTTAATAATTTTAACAAAATGTTCGCATATTCGAATTGCTTATGAAAGTTCGACATTAATAACAAAATGTTATTTTTTTCCTTGGTTTTTTCTTAACAACGGTCGGCAATTATATTAATACAATGAAGACGTGTTTTTTTCAGTTTTGATTTCATAAAAGCTTTTTTAAATTAAAAGTTTAAAGGTAATATGTGAATCTATGCAGTTTAAAAGCTTGGTTCAAATCAAACAACATAAGAGTTGTGCCTTATTAAAAGATATAAAAAGTAAGGTTCTCATGTAATTATAAAAATATGATATCTTAGTTGAATAACTTTGGTCATTCAGACATTTCCGGTCTGAAATTCACCGTTACAGCAACATTACATAATTGAACTATAATGATCATTATCATATTTTATTCAGTCTGGACGGGGGNGGGTGGGTCTAAAGTTAGAAGGTGCTGGAGTGGGTTTACATGTAAAACCTTTCATTTTAATGTTTTATACAATGGTGTCCAAAAGGAGCATTTAATTACAATTAAAATTTGCTGGAATGCACCTTGATATGTTACCTAGAGCCTAAGAGGTATAGGGTTTACACAGTAAAGTCCTGTGACGATTTTGGACTACAAGACACTAGTAATGTTAATTGTTTTGGTTCGTTTTTTTATACAATTGCTGCCATAAATTCGGTATAGTGCAGGAAAAGTAAATGCTTTTCTTAACCTATATTTTAAAATATAAATATTAAAAAATTTAATTAAAAGTAAACTTTAGCAGAATACTGTTTTAAATTTTTGGAAGTTTTATAAAAAGTAAAAAAAAATCGATTTACAACACCGCTACAAGGAACTAGTTTTATCATAACAATAACAAAAATTGTAAACGAAGGACGAAGGCCAGGCTTATTTACTAACTTTTGTAAAATGTACACACATCCTATCCTCCCTACCTTTAGTCTACCACCTTTAAAGTTACGGACACAAGTGGTAGACATAATTATCGCCTTCAGCAGTTCTACCAGACATCAAAAGTATTTTTAACAAGTTTTGATTTAGCACTTAATATATAAGGATTTTTGTGCAAGAGATTTAAAGAGAATTAGAAAAATAATTAAATGAAAAGATGAATGGGCCACTAGATGGATGAATGCATTTCTATAACGAATGGAAATGAATGAATGAATATGGTAGAATGTATGGGTATATAGTACAAATGGACTATATTTCCTTGTATTATTGGCCTAAGGTCTTAAATCTGGATTATCCTAGAGTCTGGACACACGCTACACACACCCTCATACAATATACACGTCTTTACATATGCTACACACGTCCTTACGCACCCTACACACGCCCTCACACTCTCATATACGCGACACACGTCCTTACACACGCTACACACATCCTCACGCACCCTACACACGCCCTCATACAATATACACGTCTTTACATATGCTACACTCGTCCTCACACACCCTTCACACGCCCTCATACCCTCACACACCCTACACACACCCTCACACCTTCATACACGCACTCACACGCTCATACACGCTACACACTTCTTACAAGCACTACACACGTCCTCACACACCCTACACGCGCTACACACGTCCTCACACACCCTACACACGCTCATACACGGTGTACATTGTACAATGTACATTGTAAAATGAACATAGCTATTTTGATGATGTACTTACTAAGTGAGGGTATGATGTCCATTAGATTGCAACATTACTCTTCTCCGGTCCCTGTTTTCATCTAGATCCCATCTAATAGAAATAAATAATTTTCAAAAATTTTATTTACATCCTCAAAATCTAATTTTTAATAATTATATCATTGCAACCTCATTTCTTGAAACCTTTGATAATTCAAACTGTGAATTCTGCGATGGATCAAATAATGAAAGTTTGAAATTAAAAATTAAAAATTTACAAATTTTAAATTTTAAATTTAAAATGTTTTTAGATTTTAAATTCTATTTTATAAGTCTCAAGGTCAATTAATTATCTTCATCGAAAAATATGTAAGTAACAATTAATCTTTAAATCTTCTTAACCATACAAATGTTTATATCCTAGAATTACTTAGTTAAACGCAATTTAATTCAGATTTTGATAATTTTTTTATATTTAAAGAATAATTTTAGATTTATTCCGTAAAAATAAACATTTAATGTAGTATTAGTATTAGAAAATGATCATGAAAGATCCCAAATGTAGACTTAAGTTACAAAAGGTTAAAAATAAATAAATCATTACATTATTTAAATATATATTTAGCGAATCTGTTTGGGTGTTTGTCTGTGCTCTCATGACTCTAGTAAAGAGGTTACTCACTTGCTTACTAAAAAATTGCCAGGAAAAAAATGACGATTCTTTAAATCTTCTTAAATGCTCCAATTTAAACAGAAAATGCAGTGATTAAAACAATTAAAAATGGCGAACTTCAGAGCAACAGTTAAAAGCTTAACTTTTTTTTACCAGGATAAGGGGCTCGATGCGTTCTTAAAGAAGCAAATTTACTAGAATTTACTGAATTTAACAAGTAATATTAAGATCAGCGGAATTATGGAATGAAAATGTTATAAAAAATCAAATCAAATTTTGATTAAAAATCCTTTTTATCTTTAAATCTTATTAAACAAACAAGTTCAGCTCATTAAAAAAATAAAAATTAATTTTAAAAAAAAATAACTTACTTTTTATGTTTTTAGTGCGAATTATATTTTTTTGATTTTCTCAGAGAATGTGTTTACTTCGGTCTTCTGTCATGTTTACTGTTTAGCCTCCATTTTGGATCTGAAAATAAATAAATAGAGGCTTTATAGAGATGGATGGTGATCAAATTTATATATTTCTACTTTCTTGCAATTTGGCTAACTGCAAGGACATCCAAAAATTCCTTTCTATTAATTTTCAAAATTAGCCGAAGTATGAATGAAGGATGGACGAAGGATGGACGATAAAGAAGAAAAAATGAAGAACAAGAAACATAGAAATCTCAAAATATTTCCATCTGATATAAAAATTTAAAAATATTGTAAAATTTAATTAAAATAAATTATTAAAGTTAAAAAATATATATTTTACTTGGTTTCATCAAGAATGCATGGAAAAGATATCCATGATTTTCGCTTTGATACTTTTTGTTTTTGATTGGGATATTTCTATATGTGTGCTTTAGGAAATTGTTAGAAAAATGATTATATCTCCCCCAATTATTGATCAGATAAAGGTTAAAAGGGCACCATTGTGAAACGGGCAAACCAATCTATGAATGGAGAGTCACTTGAAATTACATCCACAGTCCCTTTAACAATATTTTGAATTCCTTTTTTTACAGGGAGGGGGTGGTGACATAACAAGGAATTAAAGATACTTCTCATTTAAGTTCTCATCGATGAACACAGATTAGGGTTTCCTAACTATAAACTTGGAATTCAGCTCAGGAAGTTCAAATTCGGGGAAGGAGAAGGAAAAGAGAAGGGGGAAATGCAGGGGAGGAGAAGGGGGGATTTAGGGGAGGAAAGAAGGAAAGGAAAGGAGTTAGATGAGAAGGGTTGTGGGGAAAGAAATGAAGAAAAGAGAAAACAGAAGAAAGCTGAATTTATAAGGTTTGGAGAGGAATAAATAAAGGGAAATAGGCTAGGGTGAAAAGTGGCGGTAAGAAGTGAAGGAAAGGGCATGAAGAAGGGAAAGGGAAGGGAGAAGGGATGGAGAAGAAGAAGTGAAGGAAAGGGAAGAAAGAAGAAGAAGTGAAGGAAAGGGAATGAAGAAGAAGAAGTGAAGGGAAAGGGAAGGAAGAAGGGATGGAGAAGAAGAAGTGAAGGAAAGGGAAGGAAGAAGAAGAAGTGAAGGAAAGGGAAGGAAGAAGAAGAAGTGAAGGAAAGGGAAGGAAGAAGGGATAGAGAAGTGGTGGTGGGAAGTGTTAAAAGAAGGTTAGGAAGGAAATAACCAAATAAAAATAAAAGCGAAAGGAAAGAGGTCAAGGGGGGGATAAAATGTTAATATTTCTGAAACTCCTGGAGTATATTTATAAACTATACAGGGAACAATTTGTTAGACAACTGCCTCAAGTTATAAGAACGAGTTATTGATATATAGTCTAACAACACATTGAAAGATCTAAAAACTGCATGATATCTAAGTCATTCTTCATGCCTAATACTTGTACAACGGCAACCTGATTATCAGTTTCTTCCTTTTCCTGGTTATGGATTAATAGCAATAAAAAAAAACATTTTGAGGGGACAATTAGCAGCTGAGACCACACATTTTCTGAACCAACAAATTGTTGCCAAATTTGCAAAGATTTGAAACAAAATGACCCGGATTATAACAAGAAGTGGCCCCTCCTGAATTTGGCGGGAAAACTGAGTGTACAGGATAAAATTGAATGAAACCACAGTCCACATCAGAATATAATCCAAATTCAAGATATGAAACACATATTAATGAATAAGTTCAATGAAATAATAAATGTAGGTGTGATTTCAGATCTGATAGGAATCCTCTTTATCTATCCTATCAAGGATTAGGTCACACTTGAATTCAATTAAAAAACTGGTTTAAGTTTAACTCGAGGAAAGAATGCAGAATAATAAAAATTAAACTTGAAATAATTTTGTTTTTATAGGGAGAGTTTGTGAGATTTAAAAGTATAAAGTTATTTAATAATGTGGAGTACCTGTCTGCATAAAATATTTAATAATGTGGAGTACCTGTCTGCATAAAATATTTAATAATGTGGAGTACCTGTCTGCACAAAATAATCAATGTTATCATTATACTAGACAGGACAATAACAGGTATCGACTTTATTATTCCATGGTTCTGATTCCAGAATCAGTGTGTTCCCTGGTTCCAATTCCTAAACATTTATTTGTTCCCTGGTTCCAATTCCCAAACCTTCATTTATTCCCTAGTTCCAATCCTGAACCTTCCATTGGTCCGATTCCTAAACCTTTATTTGTTCTCTAGTTCCGATCCTGAACCTTCCATTGGTCCGATTCCTAAACCTTCATTTGTTCCCTAGTTTAAATTCCCGAACCTGTATTAGTCCCTGATTTCGATTCCTGGAATATTCATATTTCCGATTCCTAAACCTTTATTTATTCCCTAGTTCCAATTCCAGAAACTTTATGTGTTGCTTTGTTCTTATTCCTAAACCTTTATTTTTTCCCTAGTTCCGATTCCTGAACATTCATTTGTTCCTTAGTACCGTTTCCAGAACCTTTACTTGTTCCCTATAGTTCCTGAGATCCTTTAGGTATTCCCTAGTTCCTATTTGAGATACTTTAGGTGTTCCCTAGTTCCAATTCCAAAAACTGAAAGTGTTCCCTAGTTCCGAATTCCATTTTCATTTGTTTCCTAGTTCCGATTACTAAACCTTCATTTGTTTCCTAGTTCCTATTCCAGAAACTTCATTTGTTTCCTAGTTCCGATTCCAGAACTGTTGTGTTCCCTAATTTAGATTCCTAAACGTTCTTTGTTTCCTTTTCCAAGTTCCGATTCCCGATTCTTTGTGTTCCGATTCCTGAACCTTCATTTTTTTTCTAGTTCCGATTCCTGAACCTTCGCATGTTTTCAACCCTTTCCTGAAATCCGTTCTTTCCTGTTTAATAATCTCCAGGATTCGATTACCCTCCCCCCCCCCTTCCATTTACCAATACAATCAACAATAGTTCGATTTTGTTTACAGCGTTGTTATTGTTATTTTTGTTGCTTGACAAAAGTTTAATATACAACTATACAGGGATAAATTACCAGTTTTGATTTAAAATGTTAAGACTGCGGGTACCCTTACTGTTTTTAAATTCATGCTGTTTCATTTCCTTCTCCCAGGAAAATTCAATACATTTCCTTTTTTACCCATTAATTATTTATAAATTCATAGATTTATTATTTCATTAATTCATTATTTTTAAATCATTATTTACTATTTAAATCATTCATTTTTCTTTAATTCAATCATTATTATTTTATAAATCATTATTATTATTTCATAATTCATTATCATTATTTCATAATTCATCATCATTATTTCATAATTCATTGTCATTATTTTATAATTCATTTTATTATTTCATAGTTAAATATTGTTACTTCATAATTCATTATTATTATTTCTTAAATTCATTATTATTATTTCATAAGTTCATTATTTCACAAACTAATTGACTCATAAATTCATTATTTCATAAATTCATTATTTCATAAACTCATTATTTCATAAATTCATTATTTCATAAATTCATTAAATCGTAAATTTATTAACTCTTAAATCGTAATTTTATTAATTCATTCTTTCAAATTTTTATAGATTTAATATTTTATTATTTCATTAATTCATTATTCCATATATTCATTCATTCATCAATTTATATTGGTAGAAATATAGTTTGTAAAATTCTATTATAAAATGAATTATCTGAATTGTGTATAAATTAAGCACTATGTATTATATACCCCCAGACCCTGGGCATTAAGGCAATTATATGCCTGTATGCTGGTATGCACACATATACACTATATTAACCATACCGACACAGGGGGGGGGGGCGCTAGGGTTTACAGAAAGTTAGGGTGTATCCCTATAAGGTTTCCGACTGAAATTTATATTTGCATCTCTTTTTAAGAAAAATCTTAGCTTGGAGTTGCTTCTCTATCTTCAATCCTTTTCTTCTTCTACATTTAACAAAAATATCAATTGTGAAGTTTTCTGTTTTTTTTTCTGTATAAAAGTGGGCGACACTTCCAAGTTATGAAAATTATAGGATTTTTTTATCAATAAAAAGGGAATTTATACCTTAATCAATAAATAATATTAAATTGTTATCCACCAAATAGGAGTGATATAAGCATAGAAATTTCAATCAATGTACTTTCCGAACTCTACTCCCCCACCCCCCTTAGCTGCAGGTGATTTAATCCTACTGTGACAAGATCAATATATCTGAACCAAACTAGAAAATTGTTCAAGATCAAGAGCTGAACCAAACTAGAGAATTGTTCAATATCAACATTTGAACCAAACTATAGATTTGTTAAAAGATCAAGATCTGAACCAAACGAGAAAATTATTCAAGATCAAGAGCTGAACCAAACTCGAGAATTGTTCAATATCAACATTTGAACCAAACTAGAGATTTATTAAAAGATCAAGATCTGAACCAAACTAGATAATTGTTCAAGATCATGAGCTGTACCTCAAGACCAAGAGTTGAACCAAACTAGAGAATTGTTCAAGATCAATTAATCTGAACCAAACTAAAGTATTGTTCAAAATCAATTTATCTGAACCAAACTAGGGAATTTTTCAAGATCAATTTATCTGAACCAAACTGAAGAATTGATAAAAATCAATTTATCTAAACCAAACTAGAGAACTTTTAAAGATCAATTTATCTGAACCAAACTAGAGAATTGATTAAAATCAATTTATCTCAACCAAACAAGAGAATTTTTCAAGATCAATTTATCTAAACAAAAACTAAAGAATTGTTCAAGATCAATTTATCTGAACAAAAACTAAAGAATTGTTCAAGATCAATTTATCTGAACCAAACTAAAGAAGTGTTCAAGATATAGATTTGAACCGAACTAGAGAACTGTTAAAGATCAAGATCTGAACCAAATAGGGAATTGTTTAAAATCAACATCTGAACTAAAATATAGCTGCAGGTGATTTAATCCTACTGTGTCAAGTTCAATGTATCTGAACCAAACTAGAGCATTGTTCAAGATTAATATTCTGAACCAAAATATAGAGAATTGTTCAAGATCAAGATTATAAACTTTAAATAAACTTCACATGTGTTTACGACTCCTAACCTTTTAAGGAGTTTTAGGGNAAGCTGATGAGTTAGAAGATGTTTGAGTGAAAGCTGATGAGTTAGAAGATGTTTGAGTGAAAGCTGATGAGTTAGAAGATGTTTGAGTGAAAGCTGATGAGTTAGAAGATGTTTGAGTGAAAGCTGATGAGTTAGAAGATGTTTGAGTGAAAGCTGATGAGTTAGAAGATGTTTGAGTGAAAGCTGATGAGTTAGAAGATGTTTGAGTGAAAGCTGATGAGTTAGAAGATGTTTGAGTGAAAGCTGATGAGTTAGAAGATGTTTGAGTGAAAGCTGATGAGTTAGAAGATGTTTGAGTGAAAGCTGATGAGTTAGAAGATGTTTGAGTGAAAGCTGATGAGTTAGAAGATGTTTGAGTGAAAGCTGATGAGTTAGAAGATGTTTGAGTGAAAGCTGATGAGTTAGAAGATGTTTGAGTGAAAGCTGATGAGTTAGAAGATGTTTGAGTGAAAGCTGATGAGTTAGAAGATGTTTGAGTGAAAGCTGATGAGTTAGAAGATGTTTGAGTGAAAGCTGATGAGTTAGAAGATGTTTGAGTGAAAGCTGATGAGTTAGAAGATGTTTGAGTGAAAGCTGATGAGTTAGAAGATGTTTGAGTGAAAGCTGATGAGTTAGAAGATGTTTGAGTGAAAGCTGATGAGTTAGAAGATGTTTGAGTGAAAGCTGTTGAGTTAGAAGAATGAAAACATGAAATAAACTAGGTATTCAAGTGGGCGGAGGTCAAATCAGGGATGAACAGGACCCAAAGTCAACTTTACAAATATCTAAAAAAAATCTCCCAAAAATCTACATAAAAATCTACCAATGATAAGGTCTAAAAAAGAATTTTAATTGGGTGAGCTATATTTGTGCCTGTTAGCTAATGAATTTTAGTCTGAACTATCTGTTTATATGTTCGTATATTCGTCCTCCAACATTTCCCCTAGTTTTTACAGGAGGGGGGG